CTAGGTCATTTCGGGACTAACATATGGTATAATTTTATTTCAATAATTCGCTTGCGCATAGGGGTCTTTAGCAGTGGGAGGAAAACCCACGAGGTTGGACAGACGACCCTACTCCTGGTCACATACGACCTGGGAATCGAAACCACGCCAGTTGACTCAATGACAGACTTTATGATACAGCGCGCACGTGCTAACCATTTGGTCATCCACCCTCAATCAGTGTCATTGCCCAGGAAAGCTCTTCTAGATTTTACGCCTTGGTTCCCCCTTTCCAGTGGTACCAGGACATAGGGCGTGGCAAGAAGAGAGAGAAATGAAGTTTAATGTCCACTCTACACAAACTACGCCATAGCAGGACTAACACATGGATCAATTTTTTTTCAATTATTTGGCTGTAGGGGTCTTTTGCAGTGGGAGAAAACCATGGGGACCAGGAGGAAACAGTTGTATAGTCATGCGGATGACACAAAAACAAAAAACCCGACATCACACATGCACATTGGCGTGCATGTAAAAGTTGGACAGTTGGATTTTAAAATATATTATTCAAAAAAAGTAGGGGATATTTGATTTTTAAGTGTTATTAAAGTCACCTAATGAAACTGACGAAGAAACAAATGACAAAATGAAATGAAGTTCACATTCATCGATTTATTCCAAATGATCGTTAGACTAAGTAAGGCACAGACTGACCATTATAAGGGTAAAATGATACCCGGGGTCAAACAGCAAAGTTACCACAGCATCACAACCAAGTCAATAACGGGTAAATCCTCCTCTGTTTGCCAAACAAGCATTGATCCGACGTGGCATACTCCTAATGAGACGTCTAAGGTCATTTTGGTCCAGATTGTCCCATTCCTGTTGCAACGCAGCAGCAAGTTCTTGGACATTGGCAGGACGTTGTTGACGTTGTCCCAGACATGCTCGATGGGGGAGAGGTCGGGACTCAGTGCTGGCCAAGGTAATGTGGTGATGTTCTGTTGTTGGAGGTAACCTGTAACGATCCTGGCCCTGTGACATCTTACGTTGTCATCCTGGAAGATGAAACGGCGGCCATGACGTCGTGCGAACGGCACAACATGGACTGCAAAGATGTTGTCCCGGTAGTACTGGCCTGTAACACGCCCTGCAACAACATGTAAAGCCTTCTTCCAGCAACAGTGATGCCTCCTCACACCATAACAGAACCACCCCCAAATCGATCATGTCTGATGACGTTAACGTCTTGGAAGCGCTCGTTTCGACGACGCCACACCCTCCTACGTCTGTCCAAAAAATCAACAGTGAACCTTGACTCATCTGAAAACATCACATTGCTCCAGCGTCGATTATCCCAGTGTTGACGATCCCTACACCAACGACGTCTTGCCTGAATGTGCTGATCTCTCAAACAAGGGATCACGCGAGGACGTCGGGCGCGAAGGTGACCCCTATGCAGTCGATTCCGAATCGTCTGGCCACTCACTCTCACACCAGTGTCTGTTTGAAGACGAGCGCTGATCTGATTTGCTGTGATGACACGATTTCTCAAGGCCAAGGTACGGATAAATCGATCCTGGGCTTGAGTTGTCGACCTGAGCGTGGTCTGTCCTGTACAGATTGTGTATCACGGTATCTGGACCATAGCCTGCTTATGACAGACTGAGAAACATTCATCGTCCGAGCCACAACCGCCTGTGTTGTGCCGATCTGTAGCATGCCAAGGGCACGTAACCTTTCATTTTGGGTAAGCCGACAAAATTTGTTTTCTGGTCACTGGCAAGAAACAGCATCTAGTTGTTCATACTGTTCATATAGCACCGCTGTCTGTGCATTCTCCAAAATTGTCTGACAGAGAGAGAGAAAAATTAGGTTTAATGTCCACTCGACACAAACTAGGTCATTTCGGGACTAACATATGGTATAATTTTATTTCAATAATTCGCTTGCGCATAGGGGTCTTTAGCAGTGGGAGGAAACCCACGAGGTTGGACAGACGACCCTACGTTAACCCCATTTCTCGCTTTCATGACTTCCCGGGTTCGAAACTACCTCGGGATTTACAAAGCTATATCCCCTTGACGGAATATGCCATGAACAGAACGCCACTTTATTTCATTTCTAACAGCTTTATCATTTCGGAGGGCCTGACAAGGACAGCTGTCTAGTCGTTCGGATGGGACGAAAAAACGAGGTCCGGTGTACACATTGGCGTGCACGTAAAAGATCCCTTGACAGTTGGAATTCGATATACGAGTAGGCCGTAACGCCGCTGCCCGGGCCAAATATCCCTCATAGCACACTGTATGGCGTATGCCCGTCTTCATTAGCCCAGTTTAGGAACAGAACAGTAGGACGTTAAACCCCCATATCATTTCTATTCATTTCATTTAAGCTTTATCATTTCATTTCGGATTAGTATGCTCATCCTCGCATCTTGTGTTCCATTCATTTTCAAAGTTTAATGAAATGTTCCTTCAAAGTGACGCACTATTTACCATGGACAATATTACAATAGTTGATTGCTTTGATTGCATCACAGGAATAACTATTCATATTTTACTGGCTAAACAATAAGGGAGAAAGAGAGAAATGGGGTTTAACGTCCACTCGACACAAACTAGGTCATTTCGTGTCTAACATATGGTTTAATTTTATTTACATAATTCGCTTGCGCGTAGGGGTCTTTAGCAGTGGGAGGAAATCGGAGGACCCGGAGAAAACCCACGAGGTTGGACAGGTGACCCTACTCCTTGCCACGTACAACCGGGGATTCGAAACCACGCCAGTCGACTCAATGACAGACTTTATGATACAGCGCGCGCACGCTAACCATTCAGCCATCCACCCCCCCGGGCTAAACGATAAAGAAAGACAACCTGGGCGACTAATAAACACGGCAATTTGTTCTGTTAATCTGGATATTTTACTGTCTAAACGAGAAAGAAAAGTGACCTGGGCGACCCTACTCCCCGGTTGTACGTGACAAGGAGTAGGGTCGCCTGTCCAACCTTGTGGGTTTTCTCCGGGTCCCCCTGTTTCCTCCCACTGCTAAAGACCCCTACGTGCAAGCGATTATTGAAATAAAATTGAACAAAACAAATTTGGTTTTGTAAAATAAAAAGTTACTGTAGGCCCTATTGAAATTTTCTCTTTCAGTATTTGACCAAATTTGTTATTGATGATGACAAAATTTGGTTTTGATACCATAAATTAACCTTCCAATACACCTATGTAAACTTTTGATAATACCGGGGGTGGGTTTTGTATGGCTGAATGGTTAGCGTGAGTGTGTTGTATCATAAGGTCTGTTATTGAGTCAACTGGCATGGTTTTGATTCCCAAGTTACGTGACTAGGAGTAGTCGCCTATCCAACCTCTTGGGTTTTCTTCGGGTCCTCCGGTTTCCTCCCACTGCTAAAGACCCCTACGTGCATGCCCAAATTATTAAAATAAAATTGAACCACATGTTAGTCTTAAAAAGACATTAAGTACGTCTGTAGTCTATATTAAAATTGCGAGAATCTGTCATTTAAAAAAAAAACAGTCATAGGCCTACGTAGGCCCTGAAATGAAATGAAATGGGGTTTAACGTCCTACTGTTCTGCTCCAGGTTTTGATTCCCCAGTTACGTGACTAGGAGTAGTCGCCTGTCCAACTTTGTGGGTTTTCTCCGGGTCCTCCGGTGTTCTCCCACTGCTAAAGACCCCTATGTGCATGCGCAAATTATTGAAATAAAATTGAACCATATGTTAGTCTCAAAAAGACATTAAGTAGGTCTGTAGTCTATATATTATTAAAATTGCAAGAATCTGTCATTTAAAAAAAAAAACAGTCCTAGGCCTACGTGGGCCCTGAAATGAAATGAAATGGGGTTTAACGTCCGGCTACTCCTAACCTGGGCTAATAAAGACGGGCATACGCCATACATTGTCCTATGAGGGAAATTTTGCCTGGGCAGCAGCGCGACGGCCTACTCTTATATCGAATTCCAACCGCTAAGGTTTTTCGTCCCATCTGAACGACTAGACAGCTCTCCTTGTCAGGCCCTCCGTCCTGTATCACTGACAAGGGGAAACCACGCCGGAAAATTGGGATGAACTTTCTCGGCCAATGCAGGGATTGAACACCCGACCTCCAGGCTAGCAAGCCAGTGTCTTTCCCACTTAGCCACATGATCCCCGCGTAGGCCCTAGGCATACACCTATCATATTTTCAATGACATCAAAATTTCAGAAACTATAATTCATGAAAAGTTAAAATATTGAACAAAAATGTTTTGATACAATAATTAACATTTGCTTTGGAAGAAATGTAAAAAGATTACAAAACATGTTGACATTTAGACATTGCTAAAATTTGCTTATTATTATTATTATTATTATTTCTGTTTATTAATATTATACTATTATTATTATTACAGCATATTTATAGTGCTCAGGGGACAGAGTGTTAATGTTAACAGTTTTATGTATTATAAGGTCCATGGTATAGAGTACCGGTACTAAAATACAACAGGGTCAGTTAGAATCCTGTTTAAATATGTGTTTTTAAGTTGTTTTTTTAAATGAATATATAGAGATGGAGGCCTACAACATCTTAAACTAAATTTTTAATTGTAGGTCTAGCTGTAATTAAATTAGCCTAGTATTATCAAAATGGCGATTAAGTATTTAAAAATATTGTTGACCTATTTATTTTTGCGGGTGTGTGGGTGTTACTGTGTTTGTGACCCAGATGCTTCGACGTCTCAAGCGAAATATAGCTAGCTCATGCAAGTTGTTAAGATATTGGAAAACAATGTTTTGATACATAATTCCACATTTGTTTAGGAAATAGTTTTATAACCAAACACAAACAAAATAATTTCTGTTAATAATAATGATATCGGTAGTAAACAAATGATTTTTAATTTTTTTTTTTTTTTACTCGTATTTTCTAAAGATCGCTAGGATTGGTCAACAATGACGTAAGTTAAGTTTAATCCAATCGTAGCCTTCGTCTCATGTTATGGCCGTCATCTTTGTCTTTTCGCTAACTTGATTGATACTGTCAATGAAAACAGTTTAAGTTTAAGGTAAGTTATTGTAATATTTCTCAAAGTTTTAATTGTTGTAAAGATCAGGTTTTCTTTATAGCTAGCTAGTTTAATGATTAGCTACAAATTATCAGTAACAACATGTCTAATCGCAGAAAAATAAGTTTACTGTGATCATGACTCGCACACAATAATAATTTGGATTTGGTGTCATGGCGTCGAAATCATGACCATTTCATTGATTGATGAAGTAAAATGTACACTGCTATGAGGTAGCCTAGCCCATGTTACCTGTTTAGAACACCCAATTATTTATAATTTGACGATTTGTCCCAGAAAATTCTTAGTTTAATTTGAACTAGATCTATGCAGAGAATTATTTATTCATTTCATGGCATACCATTGCCAATGCCATTCATTCAACATTTACATTCACATTGGCATTGTCGAATTGATGATTGCATTACTATTAGGCCTATGTAATTAGTATAATATAAAAATTATGATTAACATTAACAACCTGTATTATTTTCGTGTGCACTCTTATTTTCACTGCATTCATGCATTTTTTTAAAAAGTTACTAAAGCTTTGTTGTGATTTTGCCCTGTAATTGTATCAGTATAGGCCTAATACAGGTGTCCGTTGGGATAACCGGGACAACTTCCACCTATGAGTCCCGTGCTACCAGCAGAATTTAACCTATATTTTGATGTTTTGCCATAGCAGCGGCTCAGATTATGCTTTAGACTTCAAATAGGTAACATTGTTATTCTTGCGGACGCCTTGGAACACCAAGTGGGACTTGGTACTTGTAGAATTCTAGAAATACCCTCGATCACTATAGCTTATTAATTATGTCCTGTAAAATTATTAATTAAAATATTATTTAGTTACGGTACTAAGTTTAAGTAGTCACAAATAAGCAGTACAAGCATGATTACTCTTACTGCAATTTGTTAAACATATAGGAAAAAATCGCAGAGAGTATTTCGGTACAGTAACTGAAAAAAAGATAAATAAAATAATTTTTAGATTAAAAAAAGAGTAATGTTTGGCCCATTGGGGAATATTAAAATAGTAGATCGAATAGTAGACGTGCTGCATCATACCACAACTTTGGTGAATTTTGTGGGCACAGTAACAAATTTAGGCGCCATGGGTGTGTGGACAAGTTGACCAATGCTGTGATATCTGTGGACGACATAACTAGACTTTTTGTGTGGACGAGTTAACTGGCATTCATTTTGAATAATTAAAGTTGTTTTCGGTAAATTTAAACTGCGGTACACTGTACCAGTACTTGAAAAAAAGGGAATTTATTTCATCTTTATTTTCTTTAAATTTTTTCAGAGCCTGTAAATTAATAATTCACCAGTGCCGGTATGTGAAAAATGTGTCTAGACAAGATGGTAAATTGAAGTAAACTTATTCTGTCACCCTACATGTCTGTTATTCCATACATGGGCCGATGATCTGAAATCCGTTAGTTCAATGGTTCTTGAGGTTGATACAGGGTTGGGCGGCCTGAGAATCTGAAAGTCAGTTATAGAGATTACCCCTCAGTACTGCTGTCCAATAATCATACGTTCCCCAATTCCTTGTAGTTTAAAAGCAGCTAATGGCCCGTAAATTTAAATCTTTCAAGCTTTTATTCCGATGGTCCCAATATTGAATAATTTCTCACGTAGAAATAACATGGATTCCACCCTCGCCACTGATACAGTTCTGGGTTCGATCCCAGTGTTGTCAAGTAAGTTCCTCAGAATTTCCTGGCATGATTTCTCCTTGTCAGATTCAGATAGGACGAAAACCAGGGTCTCTTGGACATGTTGGAGGACACGTAAAAGAACCTTTGGCAGTTGGAATTTGTTATAAAAGGCTGCAACTCTGCTGTCCAAATAAAAATTCCTTCAAAGCAACAGAAACCCTCATGGTCATAGGCCACTGCATAGCTATGTTCATCTTCATTCAACCCCATTTCCCTTTTTTTTTTCAGAAAAATTCAAATTTTAAAGTAAAGAATTCAAAGATGTGTATGACATGATGCGAAACACTCATTACGGTACCTTATACATGTGTAGGTAATATTTAAATTGATTTTTAAGAAAACTTTCTTCACAGGTCAAATTTAGCCTAGAACATTGTAAATAATTAGGCTTAGTAAGACGCGGGCACCCTAACCAAGAGGTCTTTGGTTTGCCAAGAAAATTCCTCCGGATTGTCTGGAGCGAGGGCCTGGCAAGGACAGTATCCAGTTGTTCAGAATCAGATGGTACAAAAAAACAAGGTCCATTGGTGTAAAAGAACCCGTGACAGAATTCAATATAGTAGGCTTTAGCGGAGTGGTTCTGGGCAAAATTTCCCTTATACATGTAGGTCACGGTATGGCATATATCTGTATTCATTAGTCCGGTGGGTGCATAAAAGTAGACATTAAATTATTATGCTTGGGATTGTTGCTGGAAAATAAAACATGACACATTCCTAACTCAACATTAACTTCTTAGGGCAAGTAGTTCAATGATTTCACTTGCCTGAAAATGAAACTGATTGCCCAAATGTACAAATTGCATCAATTTTGCTTTGTGTGATAATTAAGTCATATAGGTGGGATTGTTGATGTAGTCTGATAAAAAAATCTCCAGTTAACTTTTAATGTCGATCCCTGATCCTTTTTTTAAAAAAAAAGTATGGGGATTGTTCGTGAAATAGCTGCAATTAAATTGTATCTTTTTCTCACTATACATATAACTCATACCCTCATCTTTGAGAAGAATCATCCCATCTGATCTAAAAAGATAATTTTATGTTTTCAGATGGTGAGCTTGTGACCCGGATGGACGAATGATGGAAAGACAAATAATGAGTGCAGTATACAGTATGTGGTATAAATCAGTCATTGAAAGTCATTACAGATGACAGTGATGCAGGACGGAGGGGCTGACAAGGAAAGCTGTCTAGTCATTCGGATGAGACGAAAAACCGAGGTCCCGTGTACACATTGGCGTGCACGTAAAAGATCCCTTGACAGTTGGAATTCGATATAAGAGTAGGCCGTAGTGCCGCTGTCCGGGCAAAATTTCCCTCATAGCACACTGTATGGCGTATGCCCGTCTTCATTAGCCCAGTTCGGAGCAAAACAGTAGGACGTTAAACCCCATTTCATTTCATTTCATTTCATTACAGATGAAGATTTTAATGCCGCCCTGTACCGGTACTAACAATGTTGATTACAGTCAATGGAAGATAATCCTTTGTATGCATCCGCATTTTAATACAGTCGTATATTTCCGTCATCCACTCCTGTGGTCTGTCATCCATATTTGTCTTAGCACAATACAGGCCTTAGTTAATCCCCTTTCCTTCATGGATTATAGCACCTGATTGTATTGAAAAATCATATTTTGAGCTTGTGAAACCTCCAGGAATCACAATTTTTATCTGAATTTAAAAAAACGTTCAACTATATCACCATTACATCTTAATAACAGTTGAGCTCAAATTTCATGAAAATCAGACTGAAATTGCCCAACAAAATAGCCAAGGTTTTGGACCCATCTAGAGGTCACAATTTTGAACTTAAAGAAATGAAATGAAATGGGGTTTAACGTCCTACTGTTCTGCTCCTATACTGGGCTAATGAAGACAGGCATACGCCATACAGTGTGCTATGCGGGAAATTTTGCCCGGGCAGCGGCACTATCGCCTACTCTGATATCGAATTCCAACTGACAAGGGATCTTTTACGTGCATTCCAATGTATACACGGGACCTCGGTTTTTCGTCTCATCCGAAGGACTAGACAGCTGTCCTTGTCAGGCCCTCAGCTCTGCACCACTGACAAGGGGAAACCACGTCGGAAAATACCGGTGAACTTTCTCGGCCAATGCTTGAACTTAAAATGTATGTATATAACCCAAAGATCCCAGATCCTTTCAATATTCGCGCATATTGGATCGTAACTCCCTGGATTATGGCCACTGATTATACAAAAAATGGTGTTTTTAGCTTGTGATTGTCACAAATTTTATCCAATTTTAAAAACCGTTCAAATATATCACCATTACACCCTGATATTAATAATTTTGTGAAAATCTGACTGAAATTGCCTGCCAAACTGACCACGCCTCATACTCAAATAATATAATAAGAGAATGTAATACCAAGGTTTTGGGCCCTCTCGATGTCAAAATTTTTATACCTTTTGATGAAACTTTAAATTTATTTTATAACCCAAAGATCTGAGTTTCTTTTGATATTCACGCAAATGGGATGGTAACTTTTGGCCCATGATTGTACGAAAAATCATGTTTTTAGCTTGTGGTCTATCTAGAGGTCAAAATATTTATCCGATTAAAAACATCTAAACATATCACCGTTTTACCATAAGGACGATTGAGTTTAAATTTCGTGAAGATCGTACCGAAACTGCCAGACAAATTGACCGCTCCCTGTACGGAAATAGTGTAAAATTATGTAATACTAATGTAGTGGGCAGTAGAGGTCACGCTTTTTATCCGATTTGCATGAAACTTGAAATGTATGTTTATATCCAAAACAAATCTGATTAAAACACAGATCCTATATCGTTTTGTTTTTTAAAGTTCAAAATTTTGTTTTATCCGTCTTTACTACACTACACTGAAAAAGTTGTAATATAACCCACATTCTGGATGTTGTGAGGGGTTACCAATGAAAGGTCAGTTACGGCGAGTTTTTGGTTGTGGTGCACAGAGCTGTGGGTAACCCACCAGAAACATCAAATGCTGATTGGTTAATCAAATGTCTGACATCATAGGGTCAAAAGCCACTTGTATGACCCCTGATGCGACCTTCCACTACAACCTGTCGTAATGTTTGTCATTGAGTTAACTGGCATGGTTTCGATTCCTCAGTTGTATGTGATGAAGTGTAGGGTCAACTGTCCAATCTCATGGGTTTTCTCCGGTTTCCTCCCACTGCTAAAGACTGCTACGTGGTATCGAATTATTGAAATAAAATGGAACCATATATTAGTCCCGAAATGTCCTAGTTTGTATCGAGTGGACGTTAAACCCAATTTCTCTCTCTCTCCACAGGAATTTAGTATTTTCTAGTAAGATTGGGTGTCTCTACTTTCCATATCCAAACTTACCATATTTTATTCGAAATAATCTCCCTATAATTACTTTTTTCGGAATGCATCTTTAACTGAACATTTTTTTGTTTTAATTTCAGGTTAATCAAACCAGAATGACAGCAACCAATGAATGTGGCCGAATAAGGTGTGGATGTGATTAATTGCAACATTGATTGTGGGTTGAATATGGTGTGTTAAAGATGCAAGAAAACACATGAAATGTGTAAACTGTAATGGATTATAGCCTGGCACTATCCAAATTACAAAACACCTGCCCTTGAGTCTATGATTATTTATTTTTTATGGCACCAGAATGACAGCACCTATGAATGTGGCCGAATAAGGTGTGGAGGTGATTAATTGCAACATTGAATGTGGGTTGAATATGGTGTGTTAAAGATGCAAGAAAACACATGAAATGTGTAAACTGTAATGGATTATAGCCTGGCGCTATCCAAATTACAAAACACCTGCCCTTGAGTCTATGATTATTTATTTTTTATGGCACCCACATTTTCATGTCGCTGCCCCTGTCCGTCCAGATGTACCTCCGATGAAATTTGTTTGTGGACAACTCTACTGGTCACAATTATCTTATTTTAATGAAATTTAAATGTATATTTATATTCAAATCATCTGGGATCGGATTCATTTTGAACTCTAACCTCATGGATTATGGCCCCTTATATTGTGCAAAAATTGGGTTTTTAGAATGTAGGCCATCCAGATGATTTTGGCATATATTGGACCGTATCTTCCTAGAATATTACACCTGATTGTACGATCCATTGTTTTTAACTTCTGGATCCTCTAGAATTCTCAGTTTTATACGCCAACATTTCCCATGCCCGAATTAACCCCTCTTTGCTGAAGATTTGGCTTTCGAGTTCAGAGTTATGTCCCATAGCCAAAAACTTTGAATTTGATAGGAGTTACAGTTTTTAACCGATCCTTTTCAGATTTAGTGTGAAGCATTGGATTCATGAGATCACAAACCCCAACGATATGCAGCGATTCGAAGATAACCTTTTCAAAAAAGCTTGTGAATGTGATGAGGCTACAATTTTTTAATTTGCCGTGTAGCATTGGGACCCCGAGAGGACAAATCCTATAAATTTCAGCAATCCACACTTAACCCACTTTTTCGGAAACCATGTGAACGTGATAAGGCTAAAAAAAATTTTAACAGATTTTTTTCTAATTCTATATGAAACATTGGGACAATGAGTGATTAGCCTTATTGATATTCCTTATTCTCTTTTGCAATATGTGGGTGTATCTTAGATGGCAACCACTTGTTTATTGTATCAATTGTGTTGTAATATTTTGAAAACAATAATAAATAATAAATATCAAAGTGTTATTTTGTTTCATGTTTGTGGTTTTTCAGCATAACTAGGATTATACAGGGTGCTATGAGGGAAATTTAGCCCAGATGTGGCTTTTCTGAATTGTCCTCTTTTAATTACACAGGTTTCTATTTTTTTACATGGACGACAATTTCTACATGGAACTTTGACTTTTCAGCCCCATCACTATCACAACCAAACACCATCCTTTGCCAGGCCCTAGATCCACTGATCAGGCGAACGGTGCAGAAAATCCTGGGAGGGTGGGGTAACTTTCATGACCGACACTGGGATCAAATACAGCCCTCACCCCCACCTGGTTTGTGAGCTAGGCCTCATACTGTTGGAAGTCTGCAAACTTACTGGGTCAAAGTGATAATAACAACCGATAAGCACTGGGTCAAAGTGAGAAAAACACCCGATAAGCTCTTGGTTGAGGTGCGAAAAACACCCGAAAAGCACTGGGTTGAAGTGAGAAAAAAACTCGATAAAGACTGGGTTGAAGTAATCAAAACACTACATAAAAACTGGGTTGAAGTGAGCAAAACACTCGATAAACACTGGATTGAAGTGAGCAAAACACTCCATAAGCAC